GTCTCTACCATAAACAAGCTTGCGAGTTGCAGACGCAAAATACTGCGCGAAAGCAACCGTGTCTATTTCGGCAGATCCTTTCTGTCTGACGTCACGGTAAGATGGGTGTGTCTGTTCATTCATAGCGCATAGATAAATATATTGGCATTCTGCCACGAAAGACATGAGTTGCCACTTCAAGTACTTTAAATTACCGTAATCACCGAAGTTAGCCTGTAAACCAATCAAGTATTTTGCATTTTGTAACTGCAATCTGTTTTCCATAACTGCTTGATTCACGTTTCTGTGAGCGCAAGCCAGAGCCTCTTGGAGTTGCGTTTCATTTCTGAAATAATTACCGCAGTAATTGATATTAGCGAAATTTACGAGCTGTGTTCCCGTTTTCACCGTTAAACCACTCCACGGAGTACGTGCCGGCAGAGTGACTTCGATACCTTCGTCTATTTCACAGGCGGCGGAGGTGGCGGCGGCAGAATGATCGCATACTCTCGCACGATCGCCGAAGTGAAACATGACTTCGTAATGACATTCTTTATTCTTACTAGCAACTAGTTCGAGATCGGTAACATTCAGAATGTCCGCAATATGATTACCGTCTTGCACTTCGATTTGATCCACCAGTTCTTTACCGCCTGGTTTATACACGTCGTATTGAGTATCGTGTTCCCTGGTGATTTTTTCGATCATGTTCCTCGCTATGCTTGCAAATAGCGGTGTACGACAAACGTGTTCCATAAACTCGTTGACGCTACTACCTTTGCGTATAGCGCTAGGTTTCACCAATTCGAAACTGTTTACGTCGTACGTCGGTACGACGGAATGCCGCGGATTGTCGGCATGATAAAATAATTCAGTCAATCCATAGCCGATATTATAGTCGTCCGTGCAGACATCCGGGCAATGAATACTTTCGTCCATACATGTTTTCAAAATCTTTCTCGTTAAGGGTCCAAATGCGAGTCTGTCAATGTTTTCAATTACTCGCTCCATGATGACGACTAGAAGTGTATTAAAGTGTGCGCAATCGGTGCACCTATTTATATTCGTAAGAGGATCATGCCGTCAGTCGTAGGTGGTTATGAGCTTGAGTCATTCGTGTCGGACGATGTGAAAGACGTTTACATATGTCCAGTATGCACTAACGTATTGAAATTAGCCGTACAGGCAAACTGCGGCCATCGTATGTGTGCAACGTGTTGTGAGAATTTACTAGTCTGTCCTATCTGTAACGATACAGTTATTAATACGATCGCTGACTATGCGGTTCACCGCGAAATAAACGCAATGAAGACTTATTGCAATCACCGTGACGAAGGTTGTGAATTCATCGCTCCATTAAAATTAATGGCACGACATCTTGAAACGTGTGAATATGCCAAGCATTTAATAGCAGGTATTCGTTTTTTTTTTTTGTTTTTTTTTTCTCGGTATGTCGGTAGCGCCCTCTTATACATCTATTTCATTCGTTCTTTTTTTTTTTTTTGCTTCGTGTGTATATAGCGCCCTCTTCATCATTTATTTCTTTCGTTCAATTCTAGATAATTTAAACGCACGATGTGCGGAAAAGATGGTATCCAGACACGACACTGGCAATCATTCGATAGAAAGTCAATTTGCCAAGTTAGAATCCCAAATAGAGTCACTCAGCGATGACCTGAAAACTGCTAGAAATGAAAACGTAAATGCAAAAAGGAAATTTCAGCTAACGTTAGCGACACAAAACGATAAACTCGTAGCGCTCGAATATACTCTGAAGATATTAGAAAAAAATAATACAACTACCAGTGGTAAAATCGAAATACAAATTGCTGAACGCGATGTGATTTTAAACGAAATTCGACATAGAATAGAATGCTTAGAAACGACCTCTTACGAAGGTGTTTTATTATGGAAAATATGTAATTATACGACTCGCAAACACGAGGCCGTTTCGAGGAAAAATTACAGCTATGTATAGTCAACCATTTTTCACCGATAGACGAGGATACAAAATGTGTGCTAAAATTTATTTGAATGGTGATGGTGTTGGGCTAGGTACACACGTGTCTTTGTTCTTTGTCGTTATGAAATCGAGATATGACGAGTTACACGTGTGGCCATTTCGTGGAAAAGT